GTCAATCAAGCCCTCTAATATACTATAACACATTAATTCACATTCTTTAACTATTTACCCCCTATAACTTGTAACTATGAAAGACCCAGAGTTGGAGAATCAGTATTTTAGACACAGTTATATGCTGGTGATATTTTCTCCCCAGTTGTTTCCTAACTTCTCTCATACAGTAAACAAACCATCCTGGAGTCAGACACAGCACCAAACATACTTAAAAGAAAACTACAGGTGTACTTTTAGATTTACACTTCTTAACAAATCCAAGTGGCATTTCATGTTACTTCTAAAATAAGTTTATCTACTAGATAAAAACTAAAAATCCCAAGTCTCAAACTGAATAATAACTTTTAATAAAATCATCTTTACACATAATTCTTTATGACTGACAATCAGGAATGAGGAATTATAGAACAAAGAGGTTAGACTAAAAACCTAACAATATAATATTTCTGAATGGCTTTTACAAATAAGTCAAATCCTTAAGGACTCCATTCAGAATCATCTGTAATTCTCAAATGTATTATCCAGTGTTGTTTTTATTAAGTGGACCATCCTGGGACTTTACATTTGTTTAAGTTCTTCCTCACATGCCTGAAATCTCCATTTGCTGGGTCTGTGACTGGCATTTTGAAGAACAGGCAAAATAAAGAAGTATGAGTTGTTTCACCCAAGGTCAAGAAGTAGAATCATATTCCTAACCTCCCAATATATCTTAAGCTTATGATCTAAACTTCAAATTCTTATTGAGTGTATCAAAGAACATCTTTTGATGTTCTTTGAATATCTTAGGGTGAAAAATATCAGGTTATAAAGCTGCAAAATATATAATAACTAGGTATTTTATCTTAATGTTTGTGTCAGCATAAATTTACAATATTGAACTGTTTAATTCAATAAACATTTATTGAAGTTTACTATTTATGAAACCCATTCAGGCTTTACCAGACATTTGAGTAAGACAAAAGCTTTAACCCCAATGAGCTGACAAAACAAATAACTACACTACAAAACATGATATAAGTGCCATAAAGAAAGCTTAGGAAAATACTATAGGCCTTCAGAGAAGGGAGATCACAATCTGTTTTGGGTCAAAGAAAACCATGTGAATCAAGACAAGGGAAATAGGATGCGCAAAGAACCTGTTTGGGAAACAATGAAAGATTGGCTAGAGCCCAGGGCACAGGGAGGAAATAAGGCTCCAAAGGCAGATAAGAGCCAAGCTGCCTACAAAGGGCTTTAAGTCAGGCTGAGCACCTATAATAAAGCCACTGTGTGTAGCTGCTACAAACAAGACTGTGCCTCTTGGGGAGAGAAAAGTAACTGATGAAATAAGCTATGCTGAAAGCATAGGAACTTTGGGGTCCTATGTTATTTATGTTATTTTAAATGGGTTATTAAAGTCTGCTATAGGGGTACCTGGGTGGCTCAGTTGGTTAAGCATTTACATTTGGCTCAGGTCATAATCTCAGGGTCCTGGGATGGAGCCCCACACTGGGCTCCCTGCTCAGTGGGGAACCTGCTTCTCTGGCTCCAGCTCCCCCTACTTGTGCTCTAGCGTACTCTCTCTCTGTCAATAAATAAAATCTTGAAAAATAAATAAATAAAGCCTGTTATAAACCAGAAAAGGGAGTATGTAGGGTCAGAACGAGGTGATTTCCAGGAGACACTGGAAATGGAAAGCTGATGTACTTAGAATCTACTGGACTTGGTAGATTTGGTATTCAGGGCCATGAAGATGGAGGTGGGCAGTGTGAAAAATCAGGCCACAGTTCTGAACCCAGATGACCAGAAGAATATAAGCACCCTAATGAAAATAGGTAAGTCAAGGGCAAAAACTGGACTCTGTATTGTTTAGTTCAGGGGAAGAAATGTGAAAATGACATCCAAGTCTGCACGTTTTACATTTGAGGAATAAAGTGCAAACATCTGGCACACAATTAGAAACATCACCAGATTTCTGAAAAGGGCTCCATCATGAGAATAAGATTTTAGTTCTCTCCACAGAAAAGATGCTTCAAAGAGTAGAAGTAAAGAAGACAAAACATGAAAACACAGATGAAAGAAGTAGAATCTTGGAGAATTGTGACATTTAAACAATGGAAAAAAAAAAGAGAACCTAATAAAAGTGACTATTGATCTGAGGCTAAGGGATAAAGCAAAATGTCTTAAGGACTATAATGTCTGGTAAGAATTGTAATAAGGAGAAGCTAACTTTACAGTGTCAAATACTGAGAAAGACCCAAGGAAGATAAGTACCCAGGAAAAAAAAAATCCGCTAGAATGTATCATTGAGAACTGCAGTGATTCTTAAGAAGTCAGGTAGCAAGAATTTGGGAAGGAGAGATGGCAATAGAGAGGAGTCACTGATCTTAGTGGTCTTTTAAAAATGGCAAAATCCACTATCTTATCTCCAAGGCAAAGGACTATAGTCAAATTCTAATGTAAATCCAGTAGGTGGCTGGTAAACCCACTGGAGGAGAAGGGGAGAAAAAAAATCCTTTACTTGTAGCATTTTATGATGTCAATATAAATGAGTATTTATATCAAATACTACCACCATGGCTGATTTCAAGCTGCCAAAAGTTGGCAAAATCTTGAAAGTTTAGCAATGGTTGCCAGTACTAGCCAACTCCAACACACCACTGCAAACCACCTATTTTACTGTCTGCTCTGCAGCTGAGCAATTCTGTCACAGCTTTCCTCTAAACTCAACAGATCATTCAACTTAATCATTCTTTGGGACAACCTTGCAGCAATTCACAGAAGTCTTCCCTACTCTTGTCACATTTAGCTTTCTCAACTGTCTTGCAACGAAAATGGTTAGATGTTGAAAGCCAAACGGCTTCCAGGCATGCCTGTCTTCACTGAGAAAATCACAAAGAAAAAAACAAGATTCATATGTGCCAAAAAGCCTTCCTCCGCCTTTTTATAATTGTTTCCTTTGTTAATGTTAATTCCCCATCTAAACCTGAAGTGTCTTAAAGATCAAGAACTTGATAAAAGACCCATTTTCTCACAACCTCTAATGGCTCTTGGCATAGTTCCAGTTGATTAACCAAATTAAAAAAAAAATAAGCTCTATATCAGTGCAAGGATTAAGTAACAAAGTGTTAAGAGAGTAAGCAAAAGAGACAAGAACCAAACATCCCTCATGAGTCCCAGTTCTACCGAGAAGCACCAGTGATATGGCAGAGGATATTAAACTAAATCTAGACACCTGGGGAGCTCCAATTCAGTTCTGCCACTCACTAGTGGGCTCCTGGTAGCCCTTTCAGTTGCCATTGCAAATGAAAAATGAACAGAAATACTGTGCACACAGGGTTGATCTTAGGTTTAATATAAACACATTTAGGCAACACCTCGCAGGACAGGTACTTGCTTGGTACAGTTAAGACTACGCTAGTATGCACACTGGATATTGCTTAAGTACATTGCCAAGAGTACCAAGGAGGCCCATCTCTGTCATGGGACTATGGCTGCTCAGCTGCTACAGATATTTTATAGTCTGTCCCCAATGACCTGGGGACATCACCCCATCCACAAATTCCTTTCACAGTCATGCCCTGGACTCCCAGGCCCCACAAGAATATGGTGACCAAAAAGTCCACCTAAAAGCAGTTTCAGAAAGATAAAAAAGTGTTATGACAAACTAGGTGGGAACAAGCTACCAGTTGGTTCCTACTTGTGTCCACATGAGGACATTCCCCATCTTACCTCAACAAGGAAGTTTATCAACAAACCAAAACAATGGACCCATTCATAATGTAAACAAACTTCAAAGGAAGAACCTAGTTTCTAGTATTTCGAAACTATCACCTCACCCCCCCTCCCCTATCCTTCCAAATACAACTGCTTTCATAGTACTCCATATTACCTTTATCATTTAGGTTATGTTTCATATGCAAGTTTCTCCAGACATCTTAAGTAGAATTATCAAAATATTAAACATATATACAGAAACATAAAAGTTTACTTTCCAAAGGAAATGACCAGCCTTGAGAAATATGGCAATAATATTCATAAATTTAGTTTTTCCACTAATTGTTACCTGTCTACTGACAAGGGCACGAAGTTTCTAGCTACAGGTGGAAGAGAATAATTTAAATTTAGTATGTCTGTGTATCAAAAAGTTTCACGTTGGACATCTGCCCTCCAAATTCCATAAAGTTTTCTACATATACATGTGTTCTGAGGCGCAAACACACACACTTCTCCGGTAACACCACAACACTTAGAAACAAAGGAAGATCGCTGAAAGATTATTAATTCTGAACCTGCTGTCCATATAGTGTTAACATTCTTTCCACTAAGTATAAATTAAACGCTTTCTGAAACCCAAAGTTATACACCCACACCCTCAAACCTCTTTCCCTCTCGCTGCGCTTCTCCTCTCCCCGACACCCCCCAATCTCCTGCACTTTCCAGTACGATTTTGGGTTCTCCATCTCCGACAGCCCCAGGGAAGCGCCGCCCCTTCCCCCAGGCTCGGGAGGTTCTGCCCAGGCGGCGCATTCGTTCTCGTCCCGGGCTGGACGGAGAACAGGGCGCACCTGCAGCCAGAAGTCGCGCTCCGAAGTGCACGAAGGACTGAGCCGTTTCCCCTGGCTCGAGGCAGGTGTGAGGACCGCCGGTCACCGCCTGCCGGCTGTCCTGAGGCACGCGGGTCCGAGGAGTCCCCGGATGACGAGCCGGGCGTGGGTCGGGCCACCCTTGCCGCCGAGCCCGCGGAGACGCTTACACAACATCACCGCGGCCCCTCCGCGCGGAGGTCCTGCGGCGCGGCCGCGTAGGATTCACACCCTTCCCGCGCTCCGCGCCTGGGAGCGCCCGGGAGGGACAGAGCCAGGCCGGGGCGTCCTCGGGGCGCAGCGCGGTCTCACGCCGGGCCGGACGACAGAGAGGCAGGCCGGGGTACGAGTCCTCGGCTACACCGCCCGGCCCGACCCGGGCCCCTGTGGAAGGAGCGATCCCGAACCCCACGAAGTCGTGGCCGCACTCACCTCTCGCAGGTGTCCGCCGAGTCCACCTCCTCCTCCTCCGCCGCCATGGCCGCCGTCACCGCGCGAGCGCCTGAGCGCGCCTCCAAGCCGGCTGACAGGCCGACTGGGACAGTGAGAGCCTCCGCCGCCCTTAAGGCCACCGGCGCCCGCGCATGCGTCGCCCTCCCACTCGCACGACGCGGCCGCGCGCGCGCGCGTGCCCGGGTCTCTCCACCCAGATTCACCAGCTGCGCGTGCGCACTAATGCCTGGCGCGAACCCGTGAGGGCTCTGGTGGGGCTGTCAACCCTGGAACCGGTAAGATTCACCTGGAAATGTTAGGTAGCAAGTGGCGTCAGTAATACCCGTGTTAATGCATCAAACGCTAATATTAACTGTCAGTGCTGGGCACGAGGCAGGCATTGTGGAAGTACCCTGGGACCTTCGCTGGAGGAGCTAAGTATCGGATAGACGCTGCATTGGCGAACGGGACTGCAGCAGTGGAGAGAACTCTGGCCTTCCGCCAGCCGGTCCCTCCAGGTGGGTAGCCAAGGGGAAAAGGTGGCTCAAGCCTCTAAAGTCAATATTCACTGATGTGCTGGGGTTATAATAGTGGCCAGAACCAGCAACTGCCGTTAGCCTCACGCGGTATATATATTGGAGGGATCTAAAGTCGGTGTTTAGGTTAACTTAGAGTTATTGAGAGGGATTTACTAACATAATGTCAAGATTCTTGACCCGTTTTCAAGTCTTTTAGCCATCAGATACTGCCTGGTTTTGTAATTATACCTCTCCCTACAACAGGGGCCAAAGGCAGGATACCCCCAGAAGTGCTACTTTAGCATATTGACTATTTTAAATAAAAGTTATTTAAGAGAATCTATGTAGAAAGGACACTCAGACCCTCCTGAAAACAGGAAATAAATCTCCATGTGATAGGTACCGTACCTCTGTGCACCAGGATAAAGAGATAGCCTTATCACCAGAGATGGGAAATTTAGAGCCAAGAAGGCTTTATAAACAACCCTATCTACTTTTTACTAATTTCCGACCCCAGCCCAAATTAGGCTTAGAATTCCTTACTAATTGAAGTTTTCGAAGCTAAGTTTTCTATATCCTGTCAGTTCTTCACAGATATATTGTCTCTTTGTCTAAAAAGCATAAAAACTGCCTGCCTTGGTCATTTCTTTAGGTCTCAATTTCATTATTGGGCCTCTGTGTACATGTAGTAAACCACTTAATTATTTTCTCCTGTTAATCTGTCTCATAGAAATTTAAGTCCAGTTGGTAGACCTTGAAGGTAGAGAAGAATTTTTCCCTTCCCTTCACTATCATTCATCCATTCTTATCTACTGTGTGCCTACTATGAGTCCATTGTGTTTTAGTAGCTGAAAAACAATGTACTAAAAAGGTCTGAGACCAGATCTCTCAAAGTTCCAGGACAACCTGGTGCTATTTTTAAATCTTCTAAATAGTGACCTACTATCCAGTTACCTTGAATGAGAGTGCTTATGTTGGAAGGTCATCAGGACTTACTTTGACTCTCCAGTCGGATAGTCAGGTTGTGACACTTTTAAGGCAAGTGCATGGTCTGCTCTGCAGGCCCGGGCTGTGAAGTCCAAAAAACTAAATGCAGCCATTATATCACCAAAGCTAAGTGTACCACACAGACTGATGATTGGTGCCCTACTGGTTCCAAGGTCAGCTTTAATCCCAAGAAGGATTTTTTCTAGGGAAAATGCCATTGTAGGGATCTGGGCCTTTATCAGAAGTCTGCAAATCAGAATGAGGCTGAAACATGGAGGGTTTTCTAGGGCTTCAATGCCCTGACTGACCTATAAATGGTTATAAAGTGCTGTAACTAAACAAAGTGAGAAAGTAAGTATAGTAAGGAGATAATAAGGACATGGGATGGGGCACCTGGGTGGCCCAGTTGATTAAACATCCAACTCTTGATGTTGGCTCATGTCATGATCTCAAGGCAGGAGACCAAGCCCCATGTTGGGCTCTATTCTCAGTGTGGGATTTGCCTAAAATTCTCTCTCTTCCTTTTACTCCGCCCTTCTCCCCACCCTGCCTGCCCACTCTGTGTGCAGGACCTCTCTCTTTCTCGCTCAATCTCTAAAATAAATAAATAAATAAATAAATAAATAAATAAAATCTTGAAGAAGAAGAAGAAAAAGAAGGAGAAGGAAGGGGAAGGAGAGGGGGAGGAAGAGGGATAGTAAGGAAAAATGATACTTGGATCAAGGGAAGGGCGCCGACACCAACTGTGTGACCTTGCGGGGGAAAATCACATGATGAGGGCTTCTCAGAGTCTAATCTGCATGCGGACTTTTTGGGGATATTGTTAAGTTGCAGATTCCAATTCTGTGGGTCTGGTATGGGACCGAATTATTAATTAATAGAGATTCTCTATTTCTAATCAGCTCCCAGTGATGCCTATGGTCTTGCACACCACCCCCCCCCCCTTTTAAAAACGATTTTATTTATTTTTTGATAGAGAGACATAGTGAGAGAGGGAACACAAGCAGGAGGCGTGGGAGAGGGAGAACAGGCTTCCCGCAGAGCAGGGAGCCTGATGTGGGGCTCAATTCCAGGACCCAAGGATCATGACTGAGCCACCCAGGCATCCCTGCACACCACCCTTTAAATAACAAAGCTCTAGCACAACCACTGGAGCTTTATGCAATGATGAAAATTATCTAAATCCCACTGTTCAGTAAAGTAGTCATGAGTCATATGTAGCTATAGAGCATTTGAAATGTGTCTAGTGTGACTGAATTTTTTATTTTAATTAATTTATTTTAATTGACTTGAATTTAAAAATCCACATGTGGGGGCACCGGGGTGGCTGCATGGGTTAAAGCGGCTGCCTTCGGCTCAGGTCATGATCCCAGGGTCCTGGGATCGAGCCCTGCATTGGGCTCTCTGCTTAGGAGGGAGCCTGCTTCCTCCTCTCTCTCTCTCTGCCTGCCTCTCTGCCTAGTTGTGATCTCTGTCTGTCAAATAAATAAATAAAATCTTAAAAAAAATAAAAATAAAAATCCACATGTGGTTAATGGTTACCATGTTAGACAAGAAGGTTTCGATCATCTACTCCTCAGCTATGAAAATGAGAATTTGAAACTGGATGATTCTCTACATTCCTTCTGGTGTTCTGTGGTTCCAAGTTGTTTTCAAGATTATATAGAAGGAGGGGTTTGATGAGGGGGCTGATGTTAGGATGTTAAAATTTGGAGTAAAGGCCTGGGAACTAAGAGCTCTACCACAGTAGGGTGGGGAAAGAGGGGTATTGTCCCTTAAGGGCTGGATTCTAGAACTTCTCGTAGAATTGCTCTCCAGAGACACAAGACTCTGACTAGTCAATGAATATCAGTTGAACTCTTCAGAAGCAGATAAAAGCCCTCCTTTGGCAAGATTCAAATGCTAGGCCATAAAGGAAAGAAGTGAGTAATACTACCACATCAAAATATAAAATCTCTGTGTGAAAAAAGACACAATAGAACACAATGCAAAAATTTGAAACAGACCTAGATTTAATCATTTCAATATATAAAGAAAAATTAAATAATAAAAAGTAGAAAATAGAGTTTAAAAATCCTCCTCGGAAGAGAAAACTCTCAAGCCATAAATAGGCACAAGATGCTTATACTCACCTGTGATCAAGGAAATGGAAATTCAAACCATGATGACATAAATGAAAAGAGTTCATGATACAAAGTATTGGCAAGAACCTGGATCGATGGGGAATACATCTACCCAGTCCACGGGAGTGCCAGTTGATACAGCCATTTGGAAAATGATTTGGAAGTTACCTGTCTGAAAATGTAAAATTAACTCTCTGACCCAGCAACTTAATTTCTGGGAATCAGTCCTTTCTCATGTGCACATAAAGATATATAAAATGATGTTTCCTTCAGTTACTCTAATAGAAGGAAAGAAAAGAAACAAAATTAGTAAGAATGCCCATGATTAAATAAATTCTGGTACCCCCATAATATGAAATACCATGACAGCACTAATTTGGAAAGCTCTCCAGAGCATATTGATATGTAGTAAAAGCAAATCCATGGAATATGAGTCAAAAGTTGGTACTTTGAGATTAATACAATTGATAAGCTCCTAGCTAACTAATCAAGAAAAAAAAAAAGCATGAATGAAGAGTATTGGGTTTGGAAAAGAGGATGTAACCACAAGTCTTACCAACATTGGGATGATAATGAGGCAGTATTACAAATAGCTTTATGCCAATGAATTTGAAAACATAGATAAAGTAGGCAAGATATTTAGAGAACATAACTTGCCAAAAACTGACAAGATACAAATAAGAAACTTGAACATCTCAATATTTATTTTTTAAAACTTGACCTTTTTAAAAACTTAATTTGTAAAAACTTCCTACAAAGAAGTTTTTCAAATAATTGAATAATTGCCCCCATGGTACAGTAAGATAGTCATAAATTCTTTACTGCTTCTCACATTGAAAACTGGAATCTTGTTTTCTCTCCCCTTCAGTCTGAGCTGTGATTTGTTTTGACTACTAAAATGTGGCAGAAGTGATTCTGTAATTTCCAAGACTGGAATTTAAGGGATCCATAGCTTCAGTATTTACCAATTCTTATAATTCCTCTTGAAAGTCTGATATCCCAAGCTCTGCTGGCCATGTGGAGAGCACCAGAGTTCTAAGATTTCCAGCCCACTCTCCAGTGAACGCAGCCGAATGAATGACACAAACTGACACCATGTGGATTGAAGTATGTGTCCAGATGAGCTTAAATTCCTGACCCAGAGGATGGTGAAAACAAAATGGTGATTGTTTTAAGCCACCGTATTTTGAAATTTTTATTTCCCTGATGACTAGTGATGCTGAAATCTTCTCACATGCTTATTTGCCGTTTACAAATGGCAATGGCAATGAAATGCTTTCAATGAGCTTTTCAATGAAATGTCTGTTCATGTCTCTTGCACATTTTCTAACTACTGAGTTTTAAGAACTTTTTATGTTCTCTAGATATTAGTTCTTTGTCAGTTTATGGTCTGAAAATATTTTCTCCCATAAGCAGCTTATATTCTCATCCTCTTCACAGAGACTTTTGCAGAACAAAGTTTTTAATCTAACGAAATCCAATGTATTGATTTTTCAATGGGCTTATGCTTTGACGTTGTCTAAGAACTCTTTGCCTAACCTGAGGTCCCGAAGATTTTCTCCTTTGTCCTTATCTAAAAGTTTTATGGTTCTCATGTTACATTATGTCCATGATTCATTTTGAGTTAATGTTTGTATAAAGTAAGAGATTTCAGTCAGGGTGTTGTTTGTTTATGGCCTATGGCTATCTAATTTCTCCAGCACCACTTGTTGAAATCACAAATAGTTTTGATACATTGTTCAGTAGCCTTTTGTGCTCTTACAAAGGAAGTAGGATGTGTGAACTATGGTAGATATCTATGGGGTAAGGAGATTGGGGGGGGTACATGAAGATGTGCTCAAATCTTCCTTCAGGGAAGGGCTTATTCCCTTAACTGCTGTGAGATTTTCAATGGAACAGCCTTTGGCCCCTTCAGGGAACACCTCACCTACAAAGATCCATCTCACCAACATCATGCCCTTTGGAGGAAAACTCACACCTAATAATGGCTGAAGGTAGGAATACAAAGGACCAAACATTTCCACCCAAAATGGGACAATTCAGATGAGCCTTTATCACAGCTCAGCTTCTTCTCAGTCTCACCTTCACCCTCCTTCCTGTCAGTGTTGATCACAAGGGCACTCCCTGAACATTAAGCTCTCAGAGATTGCTTCCTGCAGAGGCCAAACTGTGATACTTGTTTTCATTTGTATTTAATAAGCATGCCATTTGGTTTAGGTGTTGACAAGTGAAAAGGTTATAACTTGGTGGTTTTTATACTATGATTATAGGACCAGTCATGACAGGAAAACTTGCCTCAGAAAGTCTACTCTCAACACGCACCATTGCAAATGAGGAATGGAAGCTGAAGGAAAGGAGAGGACAAATGTGAGTGGTAAGATTCGCACAGGCATGCGTAAAAAAGAAAGAAATATCACAAGTGAAATTGAGTGAAAACAGCAAGATGCTGTCCCCTCTTTTACCATGGCTCGTAGTGATGCCAACACTGGGAAGGTAGATGTGTGGGTCAATATCCAGAAGTACAACAGGGCCAAATCTCCCATCAACATTGGAAGGTGGGGGGCAGAGAGGAGAGGGGAGAGGGGCTACCATTCAGTTTCTAGTCATGTTCCCTGCCCCAGGAAATTTGAAATCATGCTGATTTGGGAAGAGAATTTTAACAGTGTTCTTTTCCTCTACCTTAAATATCATTTGATTATAATAGAAGAACCCTTGATTTTTATTTTCAGTAGCATCAATGTTTCTTTCTTATTTATTTATTTATTTATTTGACAGAGAGATCACACGTAGGCAGAAAGGCAGGCAGACAGAGAGCTGGAGAACCAGGCTCCCGGCTGAGCACAGAGCCTGAGGCGGGCCTCAATCCCAGGACCCTGAGATCATAACCTGAGCCGAAGGCAGAGGCTTAACCCCCTGAACCACCCAGGCGCCGCAGCATCAGTATTTCTTTCTTTTTTTTTTATTATTCATTGTTTTTGCACCACACCCAGTGCTCCATGCAATCTGTGCCCTCTCCAATACCCACCACCTGGTTCCCCTAACCTCCCACCCCCTGACCCTTCAGACCACTCAGATTGTTTTTCAGAGTCCATAGTCTCTCATGGTTCACCTCCCCTTCCAATTTCCCTCAACTCCCTCTCCTCTCTAGCTCCCCTTGTCCTCCATGCTATATAAGTGAAACCATATGATAATTGACTCTCTCTGCTTCTTAAAACACTGACAGAAAAATTTTTTCCTACCATATTTCAGATCTTTTAACCTTTATTTTCCTTCTGGTTGTCTTTTATCAGCACATGCTGAAATAATAGGTAACCTCAGAAATCAGGAAAATATCCTCCAAAATGTTGACATTGAAAATGTCAGTTGCCTTTCTGTGTTTGAACCTACAAGAGCAAAAACCCTTCTATGTAGTCATTATTTATGCCCCTGAACATTTTGTAGTGGGGAAGGTTTACACAGTAACAGAAAGTGTTCATACCCATAATTCTTCTGACATTAACGTTGGCTCTTGAATCGCTCCCTCACCACTTTGAAAATGCATCCTTCGGTTTAATGCAGCTTATTGAATATCCATTCCATTTAGTCGGCACTCACAGCAGAAAACAAACAGCAACTGGTATCTTGGCTCTATTACATTTTCTGACAAGTGGGAAATATCTGTTTGGGATACAATAAATACTTGGTTCTAAGTAATTCAGCAAATTGGCTTATTTAGCTTGAGCTCTACAGGGAGGCACTGAGGGACTGATTCTTACCCATCATTGATTTCACATTGAAATATGTTGATTGTCCATGCCCGCAGCTGGAAGAATTTTGTGGTGGTATGAGTGAATGAGCAGTTAGTGGAAATGCTGTCCTAAGTCACTGTAAAACTAGCAGTAATCTTATTGCTTACCTACCTTAGAGCCAGCTCTTATCAGCTCACCAGTCAATTGTTAAATATTCAGGAATTTTTGAGCTGGATATGAAACCGTGGAACTTTGAAATTGGGAAATATTTGTACCACAGAAATTAGCAGTTGAAATATGGGTTTGTTTGTTTGTTTGTTTTTTAAAAAAAAGATCTGGTTAACCAGCACACAATTGCCTACTCTACCTTAACGTAGGAAAGTTACAAAGGAGATGGCATGATGATTTCTCTCATGTGGAATTTAAGAAACAAAACAGATAAACATAGGGAAAGGAAGGGGAGAAAAAAATAAGACGAAATCAGAGAGGGAGACAAGCTGTAAGAGACTCTTAACTCTAGGAAATAACTGAGGGCTGCTGGAGGGGAGGTGAGTGGGGGATGGGGTAACTGGGTAATACATTAAGGAGGGCAAGTGATGAAATGAGCGCTGGATGTTGTATGCAACTGATGAATCATTAAACTCTACCTTCAAAACTAATAATATGCTCTATGTTAATTAATCGACTTTAACTTTTAAAAAAGATGGCAAGCAAAGAAATGAAGGTTTCACAAGAAAATGGATAAATTCAAGTAAACTGAAAATACACAAAGAAACAGATGACAAGGATATAACAACTTTCTGTAATGGTACACAGGTATGCATGAACATATTTAAGCACTTCAAAGATAGAGATCTGATTATAAGATCAAGCAAGTGTGGTAAGGATTCATGAAAGTGAGTCTCAAGTAAGACTTATTTTCTTTTCAGTTGAGTTATACAGCATGGATCATAATAATTACCACAAAGTGAACTCCTCCACATTAGCACAATCCAGATGATTAAGGAAATTTTGCAGGAGAAAAAGGGACACTAGAAGAAAGCAATGGAGCAGGCAATGCAGGTAGGCTTGCAAGAGAAGAAATCATGTGCAGCTCCATAACAGATACTTGAGCTTGAACAATATCAGTTGGACAACATAACCTGCTCGGGATTTTTATTTTGTTTTACTATTAAGATGCTGCAAATCAATGTATGAGAACTTTTTTTAGGTGTGCTGATGAATATACAGTTAATAGCTAAATTTAGGGCTTTTCTTTGGGTAACTCTTCTCCTTTGAGATTTGATGATACTGCTTAGCTATCCTCCCCTCTGAGCACAGTCTCTGATTTGATGGACCCTTGACACTTAAGCAACACGGGCTTGAAGTGGGTGGGCCCACTTACATATGGATTTTTTTTATAAATACAGTACAGTGCTGTAAACATGTTTTTCCTCTTGTGATTTTCTTAATAACATTTTCTTTTCTCTAGGAAACTAAAACATTTTCTTTATTCTAGGAATGAAGTATGTAATCCATATAACGTATAAAACATATGTTAATTGACTGTTTATGTTATAGTAAGGCTGCTGGTCAACAATAGGTTATTCATAGTTAAATTTGTGGGGATGTGGAGTGCCTGGATGGCTCAGTTGTTTAAGCATCTGCCTTTGGCTCAGGTCATGATCCCAGGGTCCTGGGATTGAGCCCCACATTCAGCTCCCTGTCCGGTGGGGAGACTGCTTCTCCCTCTGCCTCTCCCACTGCTTATGTATTCTTTCTCTCTGTGTCAAATAAATAAATAAAATCTTTTTAAAAAATTGGGAGAGTCAAAAGTTATACATGAATTTCCACTGTGCAAGGGGTTATTACCCCTAACCTCCACTTATTCAAGAGTCAACTAATTACTTGCAGTAGGGGAAATGGGTTATTATTAAATATCTTTCAAGTTAAGTAGCATATGCAGTATGTACATTGCTCTCTGCTACTTTTGCATTAACTCCTCAGTCTCCTAAAACTAGACTTTTAAACCATCATTTTTGTACATGTGTGCATCTCTCTTTTTTTGGAAGGGGAGAGTTGTATATTAACAAAAGTGGTAATTTTAATGATAACATAGTTTTACTGGATTGAATCTATCCTTTCTTACCATAAAAATTTATTCTGCACAATAAAACCTTTCAAACGAAAATTACACTGTAGCATGAGATTACACTAAAATGATTTAACCAAAATAATTATACCCTCAGTAGTGAACCCATCCTATAAGCCTTGATTTTCTTCCTTGGGTCCAGCAGAGCTTCTAGTTCTCCACATCTGAATCTGGTCACAGACCACTGGGGGAACATCAGAGTCCTTGTCAGTGGCTGCAGTTGGTTATACTTTTTTGTTAGTGTACTCACCAACTGTCACTGGGATTGGTCCTATCTTGCCTGAAAGATAATAATTCCTTGAGAATAGAGATGTGTTTTCTACTTCCTTTATAATTCTCAGAAGCTCTTAGAACTATCTTGGAATCTGTACACTGTGAAGATGAAATATACCCTGTTTGTTGACTGAGTTACAGCTCAGGTGTAAATAACACCTGCAAGGAATTAAAAATGCTACCTGATTAAGCCAGTTGATCTAACCATCCTTCTTAGCAGTTATTAGCATTTTCATGAAACAAATGGGAAATCAGGGAATAGAGGTTCTATTACTTACCAACAACTATACAGAGAAATGGTAGCAAGAACCAAGAGTAATTTTCTCTGTCTCATTGTATCATACCCCTAGTGTGGTGGTGCTGGCTGGCCCATGAGGGGGTGGTGGGTTGTTAAAAAGCTATCCTACCACCCACCCCCATTGTTTAGACACTCTCCTGGAGTTGTGTTTCTAGCAATGGTGATAGATCTGCATCTGTTGAGGGGCTGTTGAAAAGACTGATGTAGCTGTCTACGAACTAGACAAGACTAGTTTTTTTGGCTTTCTACCAGCCAAAGGGGTAATTTAAAGCCATAAGGCAACTGTCACCAGCCAGAGGCCATATTCCCATTGCCAATCAGCCCATCCAAGTAGTGCTGTAACCAGTAGATTAGAACAGCTGAGACCTCTGTTGTTAACTAAATTTGTGAAGCAGTCATTCACATGGGCCTTTAATTATAAGAATGCTGAATCCACTCTTTTTGCCAAGTTCCAATTCTGAGGATTGGGTCGGATGGATTATTTTTCACCCTAACAGGAAACTTGGAAATCCAGTTGGTCCAGTCATAGAAACATTATGTAAAAAATACCACTAAAGTCTGCTGAAAAGTTTAGGCTCTTAACCACAAATCTCCCAACCTATTAGGAAACTAGGAATGATCTCCAGATTTAGGCCCCAGAATTTCATTTAAAAATAAGAATATGCTTTGAGTATGATAGAAAGGTAATAGAATACTACTTAAGTATGATAGATACATAGATGTAAAGATATGTAGCTATAGCCTCTTTTTTTCCCCTCCTCCTGAATATCTTATCAGCATAACTGTAATTATCTTTATTTGGTTGAAAACAAATGAAAAGAAAGCAATTATCACTCTAGATAAACTATATAGAATCTCAGTTGAATTTAGGTACCTTATATAAATGTTAATCATTTTAACAACTTACAAAATGATGGCCAAGTTTAGTTAACAGTTGGATCTCCCAAATCTAGAATGAGTTGTTTTCATCTCCATACAATTGCAAATCTTAATCTTTTCCTTTCTCATTGTTTGAATTATCACTGCAGTTTAGCCTTTACTCAAGTGGAAGATTTTTTTTTCTCTTGAAAGAAGAAAAACAGAAAGACATTAAATATTTTCCTTTGAATTATTCTTCAGTGCTCAAAATACAGGTTTAATTCAAAACCAGTGCTTGCACTTTGCATAGCATACAAATCAGGATTTGAATTAAAAAACATTGAATAGATGGAAGAAATATAGTGTTGTTTTAAAGTTTCTTTAAAATATAAATGACTTAAAATTACATTAATATAAGTTTTTAAAATGTATTAAAAACAAACAAACAAACAAAAACCCCAGTTAAATATGTAACACTAAAAGCACATGCTAGGGCACCTAGGTGGCTCTGTGGTTTAAGTATCTGGTTTCAGCTCAGGTCATAATCCCAGGGTCCTAGGATCCAGCCACCCATGTTGGTCTCCTGCTTCACAGAGAGTCTGCTTCTCCCTCTGCCCCCACCCCCACTTGTTCTCTCAATCTCTCTCTCCCCCAAATAAATACATCTAAAAAAATTAAAAACACATGCTAGAACCTATTTATAGTTGTATATTTAAACATCCCCCAGTTGGGAAATATAAAAGTAAAAATTTCATATAGCAATCAGTTCCCTATCTTGCTCACAAAGAAACCATTTCCCAACTTTACTCATAATGATTTGAACAAAATAATAAACTATAAACTAGTTAATTCAATTATCAGAATTGGAGCTACAGTCAAATAGTAAATCCGAAATATTTTCCTAGTAACTCATACTCTGTTCCTGAGCAGAAGCAATGTGTTTTTAGAGAGGTTTTGATCGAAGGGAAGGTAAATGAAAAGGGAGGCAGTAGAGCAGTAAATAAAGAGAAATTTACTGACTTTTCTGTCAGTATCTGTTAAGAATCACCATTCTGGAAGGCCAAGGTGTTTATAACAACAACAACAACAACAAAATACTGCCTTTTCTTCTTAAAGCTTTTTTTTTCTGGTAAAATACATATACAGAAAGGTACCCAAAACAAACAACTAGCCCCATGTTTTATTATAAAGTGAACACTAATGTGTTTATCACCCAGGTCAAGAAATGGAACATTTCAACATCCCCAACACCTCCCTCGTACGCCACTCAATCATTACTCCAATTCTCTAAAGTTAACTCCTCTCTTAAGAACTAACACCATAGTTTAGTTTTGCCTGGTCTTGACTTTACATAAACAGATTCATAAAGAATGTGAACTTTGGTGTCTGGCTTTTTTCACAGAACATTCATCCATGTGATTGCAATTCCCTGTAGATGTTCATGTCCACTGTCAAAAGATATCACAGTGTATTGATCTGTGCAACTGCTCTTTCTTTGATGACTTGCTTTGTGACCTTAGAGCTGTTTGAATAGTTTATTCACTTACAACCTTTTGTGTGCCTTGGTGACCAATCTGTTCCCATGGGCTTGATGACCTACCCATTCCCATGGGCTTTAAAAATACACCTTTATTTAAGATATATTAGTTTTCATTGTTCAAGTTCTCAAAAGGGAATTTTGAAAGCTATATTTCCAAAATGATAATTCAAACAATGAGAAAGGAAAATATTTCATATTCTTTTCAAGAACTATTTAAATAGCAACAGTTGTGCACTTTTGCCTGGAAGGAAAGAGGAGTAGTAGGCAAAAGAGAAAGAAGAAAACTCAAAGTACAAATACAAAATATTTATAATCCTAGAAAGTAACATCAGACTGCTCAGACTGGATACACATCTTACAGGAAAGAACTAAGGACTGTGTCATTTGTTGATATCTTTAAATATTCCAACACAACAAATAAAAATAAAACTGCTTTTGAAAATGGGATTTGTGAGGACTGGTACTCTCTGTATCAGTTTGGTCCTTTGGCTTCAACCACAGTAACTCCCTTGAGCCATTTCAAGCAGGAAGAAATGAACCTGGGCACCTGGGTGGCTCAGTTGGTTAACCGACTGCCTTCGGCTCAGGTCATGATCCTGGAGTCCTAGGATTGAGTCCCACATCAGGCTCCCTGCTGGGCAGGGAGTCTGCTTCTCCTGCTGACCTCTCTCTTCTTATGCTCTCTCTCTCTCATTTTCTCTCTCTCTCTCTCTCAAATAAATAAATAAAATCTTAAAAAAAAAAAAAAAGAAAGAAAAAGAAATGAACCTGAAGGAACACAAAGGCAATATGGTACCTGGGAAGCTGGATAACGAGATCAGCACACAGTCCGTCCCCGAGCCTGGAGAGAAAGAACCTCAGCAGCCACCTCAAAGCAAGAAGAAACTGGGCAATTGCTGCCAGTCAGATGGAATTAAACTAATTTTCAGTCTTTTTGTTCTTCAGCTCAAGATTCGTATTCCAAGAGGGAGGCAAAGAATTGCTTTGATGTAAGTCAACTACTTTCTCTTTAGCTGGACAGAGGAGTAATGGAAGGAGAACTTCAGTGATAGTCCCACAAGACCTTACGCAGTGATTGAAGGGTAATCATAACATTGGAAACTAATGAGCACATAGGAAAGAGAAATGGTTGCAGAGAAGCCCCAAACCAATATTATCTACTGTATTCTCCTACAACACAACTTCTGTTTTGGTTCCAACATGGGCCGAAGGAAATTGAAGTCCCTGCTTTATGAATACCGTTTAGGAAGAGGACAATTTAGGTCATTATTGCCCCCACCTTCTTCAGGCTGGTGGATTGCTGAGATTATTGCTGTTCCTAGATTTTATTTCTGGGCATTTTTGGCTTGATTTTGAAAAATTAAAATAAAATAAAAACCAGAAGTTGCAGGAAGTCAGTAGAGCTCCTTGGAAAAGAGCAAGACTGGAGAAGGAACCCAGACTGTCACACTTCAGTGAGTTGTATCGAATCATTCTCAGAACGAAAAGATTCATTTATTTTTGGAGAGGAGTATATTCCCTTCTAAGGTTTTATTTACAAAAATACTTATTAAAAAATGGAGAGGAAAGCCCTGCCCTACAGCTTTAACTGTTACCTGCAAAGAATGAAAGCCCTTTCATTTTATTGGAATCATTGTGTAACATTTACAAAAATGTCTCTCTGATCACTGAAAACTGGTAAAAGGAAAATGATTATTAGAATTTCTAATATAAAAGAGAATTACATAGTCTGTGATCACTGCGCCTCATGGAATTAATCTAAAAAAAAAAAAAAAAGTCAGTGACCAAAGTAACATCCATCATCCCTGCTGCTTCAGGCTGTAATTCATTTAATTCTTTTGCTAAGAGCAAACTTGTATTTGTGAGCATTCGTGACATCCTTATGTCAGAAAAACCCAAGGGCTCTGCCCACGGAGTGAAGTCAGAGGTCAGGCCAGTTTTTTTCCATCAGGGCAGTGCACATGTTATTTATGGCAGGCATCCACCCCAAGGAGTGGGGACAGGAACACGCCTATTCCAGCAGTGGGAATTCCATGAGAACGATCATCTGTCCTCCCTAGTCCATCTTCTGGCTCTTCCATATTCAGAATAGGGGAAGAGAAGAATATAAGGAATAAGGTAAAGAGCTTTCACCTGGCTGGTATCATTTGTGTTACTAGTTCTCACTCAGCTGACATTGGCTGGCTGTCACACCTCCCATGGCAGTGAGCATCCCCTGCTAACTCTTTGATGAGAAGACTTGTAGTTTGTTGGGAGACCTCAACACAGGGGAGCTCCATTCCAACCTTTCCTCGTGTAGGTAATGGTAAATTGCAGTTGGAGATCAGTAAAAATAAAAATGTGATTCATTCCATTAAGCCTACCCACCCTATGATTTCTATCCCCATCCAAAAATCTGCAGTGTCTGCCCAAGATGTTGTCGGGGGTGGGGGTGGGGGGGAGGAGACTCAAACTGAGTATTTTAAAGACAGAGGAATAAAGTGAAGGCCCTTTGCTATTTGTACTCCCCCTTTTGGGGGGTGGTGAAGAGGTAGAGTAACTTACATGTGGTCTATGATGTCAAGTTCCCAAAAACCCTCTCAATCCAACTTAAATGATAATGAAGTTTATAGCTATAGATTTAAGTCCAGAACAAGAGGGGCTTCAGGGCTGACTAAATCTGGTGGCTCTGGCTCCATTTTCCTGTAATCCTCTCTTCTCTTCCCTTTCCTTGTGTCAGCTGCGTAGTTAGAGACATTGGGGATGGTTGCAAAGGTCTGGGCTCCTATCTAGGTGTACCAAAGGCCAGGGAAAGACTGGTTACTTCTAGAAGCTTCTAGAACTGCTAGAAGCCCCCTAGCAAGCTGTTCTCTGCATCTCATAGACCTGTATTGTCATGATTATCTATGAATTGCATGTTAAACCAAGTTCTGTCTGAGGGAATGGGATTTTTTGTTATCAACTTTTCCTGAGTACTGGGGTTCTTGGGATTCTAGGAATGAAGAGAGAACAGATGCTGGGTAGCAAAGTCCACTCTGATATCCCCCAAACAATTATAATTACTAGATCTAATCTCTTACTGTTAGGCACTTAGGTTGTTTCTAATTTTTTGACAAAAGTTCACAAGGATATATAACCTTGTACATACTCTTTTGAATAACTCTTGTGTTATTTCTTGGAATGTAATTCCAGAAAGGGGATTGCTCAAAGTAGTAACATATTTCTAAGCATTTGATTTATATTGCCAAATTGCTTTCAGCCCCATTATTCCGAGTTACACACCCACCAGAAGTGTATGAAGATCTTATTTTCCCAAATATTCACCACCCATGGGTATTATACTTTTTTAAACTCTTCACCAATCCAGTGGGTGAGAGAGGCATTTCATTGTGCTTTAATTAGCATTTCTCTAACAACCAATAAATGTTAATATTTTTATATGTATTTGTTGGCTAGTTCTATTTCTTATCTTGTGAATTATCTGTTCATATTCTTTATATTTCTGTTAAAGTATTGATAATTTTCTTATTGATTTTAACTACTCTTTATATATTAAGGATATTATTAAAACTGTGTCTTGTGTAATACATTTTATTAATAGTATTTTTGATAGAGAAATTATAAAAATAATTTACAATCAAGTATATAAATCATTTTTGTTATATTTTTTACCTTGTTAACATGCTCAGAAAGGCCTTCTTTGACTCTAGATCACATAAATATCCAACTATATTTTTCAACTATTTCATTCTTAAGTAGTTTTATTGAGATATAATTCACAAACCATAAAATTCACCCATTTAAAGTGTAGTATTCATCAGTTTTTAATATATTCATGGAGTAGTACAACCATCACCATTACCTACTTGTAGAAGATTTTCATCACCCCAAAATGATTACATTTAAATATGATTAATTTTGGATTTATTTTTTCACAGTTAGATAGGGGTCCAACTTCATTCTTTTGCTTGTGAATATCCAGTTGCCTGAGCACCATTTATTTGAAAAGACTATTCTTTCCCTATTGAATTGTCTTGGCATTCTTGTTGAAAACCAATTGACTATAAATGTATTAGTTATTTCTGGATTCTCAGTTCTATTCCATTGATGGAGATGTTTATTTTTCAGTACTATGCGCGCTCTCTCTCTTTCTCTCTCTCTTTTTTAAAGATTTTATTTATTTGACAGAGATCACAAGAGAGGGAACACAGCAGGATGAGTGGGAGAAGGAGAAGCAGGCTTCCCTCAGCAGGGAGCCCTAGTAGGGCTTGATATTGGGGCTCGATTTGGGGCTTGATCCCAGAACCCTGGAATCATGACCTGAGCCAAAGGCAGACACTTAATGACTGAGCCACCCAGGTGCCCCAGTATTACACTCTCTTAATTACTGTGTGTTTATAGGAAGTTTGGAAATCAGGAAGTGTGAGCCTTCCAACTTTGTTCTTTCTCAAGACAGCTGGCTGTTATGGATCCCTTGCATTTCCATATGAATTTTCTCCTCTGCTACTCAGTTTCTGAAAAAAATAAAATAAAAAGCCAGCATCTGGGACTCTGACTCAGATTACACCAAATCTATAGATCAGTTTGGGGATATTGTCATCTTAACAATATTAAGTATTCTGACCCACAGACATGTTATGTCTTCCCATAAATCTAGATCTTCTTTAAAAAGAAAGCTTGTCTTCTAAGAAAGGCCATCTTCCTTATCACTTCCAACTCCAGAGGAGTAGAACCAGAAGAGAGAGAGAAAGCAATCTTAACAGCAACCTGCCCAGGACTATGCTGTGTGAGGGAAGAAGTGATTTGAGTCAGATATGACATTAAGTTTTGGACTGGACTGGAGTAAGTATGAGTCACTAAAAGGGACTGGAACAAGATATCATCTGCCCTTGATATTGTTAAGATCAGGCAAGGAAGATCAGACACAGAATGGATGAAGTGTGATTGGAAAAAGTAAAAAAAAAAAAAAATTGTTTTTCACATTTAAAACTCAATGGGTTAAAACTCCAATAAACCTGTATGCACAAAGCTGAATAAGAGAAAATCTCTGCTCTCAAGGAATTCATCATCTTGCCTGCACGAACTTTGCCAAGACTGCCCCTTTTACAGAACGAAATCCTTTGAAAAATGTTATGAATAGTGTTTTTACCCTAAACCTCATCCAAATTTCACATCCATTATTTCACCTAATTTATTGCCCTCCAAAAAAAAAACAACTCTTACTGTCAAACAGCTTTTGTACAAGGAAAAGAGTATTAATTGAAAAGAACACATGCTTGCTGGCACATCAGAGGGACAAGAAATAAATGATGTGATGAGCACTTTATTATTCACTTTATCCAAAGGTGGTGCCTCAAGGAGGTCACTATCGTACTGTGAAAGGAAGGTAACACAGGTGTTTGTTATAATTATACTTCCATGAGTGCATTTGAGGCTGTTGACTTCTTTCAGACAGAGTAAATTGCTCATTTATTACATTAATGTTAACACACACAACTTAATGCACACCATTTGTCAGATGGGAAATAAAAGAAACTGAATTAACACAATCAGAACACAGCTGGCTTAAGATAATTATTTAGGGCTATGGGGAAATGCTCAAAACAGCCTAAAACTTAGAAAATAATGATCTGGTACTTTAATTCTTGCATGTGTACTCTTCCCTAATACCTACCCAGAAATTCTTTGGTGATAGGCTTTTTATTGAGGTTTTTAACTTCTGCAAAAATAATTTCTGATTGCAATTTTTTTCTGTGATTCTCTGTGATTTATGAAAAAAAAAAGTTAAAGTTACTGCAACTTATTTTTTTAAGCTTAATTTCCTGTTGCTTCTTTTTCTAACCATTCAAAAAGGACACCAGACTTAATATCCTTGATGGTTTTGCTTAATAATTCCATGGCTTTCCTCAATTTTTAAAGCAGTTTCTTTTCAATTACCTGTTATTTTTCTTATCTTGCACTCATAAATGGCCTTTTACCTACCTAAGACCTTCCTCTCACCTCCCTGCCTCCTACCCAGGTTCTACTGTGCTGGATGAATTCCACATCCTCTGTTTCACCTCTGAACCCCAGAAATCTTGTGAAATTCTCTATCCTCAAGTGGGTGTGTGTATCAGTCACAGAATGATATGTATCTATGTGGATTAGAGGGAACTTGCCAGAGTATGTGTGTGTACAACAGAAAACAGGGTTTATGATGAACTCAGAGTGGAGTGGATGAAGGACTACTCTCATAGGCAGACATCAGCATTGGACACTTATATAGAGAAAGCATTTTTAAAGCAGATTTATTGACGTATAATCCACATGACATAAAGTTCACCCTTTAAAAGTGTCCGCTCCAATAGTGTTTAGTTTACTCACAGTGTCATGAATTTATCAGTATCTAATTTCAGAACATTTTCATCATCCACCAAAGAAAACATTAACATCTCTCTGTTCCACCAGATTTAGACAACTACTAATCTATTTTCTGTCTCTATAGATGTACCTCTTCTGGATACTCATATAAATACAGTCTCACAATGTTTGGCCTTGTGTGTCTGGCTTATTTCACTTAGCATATCCATGTTATGTCATCTGTCAATACTTGATTCCTCCTTATGACCTGATAATATTCCAATGTATGGACATACCACATTTTATCCATTTATCAGTTGATAGACATTTGGGTTGTTTCTACTTTTTGGCTATTATGAATAATGTTGTTACAGACATTCACATTCACATATCTATGTGGACATATTCTTTGAGTTCTCTTGCGTATATACCTACGAGTGGAATTTTTTGGTCATATAGAAATTATATGTTGAACATTTTTTTCTTTTTCTTTTTTTTTTTTTTTAAAGATTCTGTTTATTTATTTGACAGGCAGAGATCACAAGCAGGCAGAGAGGCAGGCAGAGAGAGAGAGAGAGAGAGAGGTGGAAGCAGGCTCCCTGCTGAGCAGAGAGCCTGATGCGGGGCTTGATCCCAGGACCCTGGGACCATGACCTGAGCTGAAGGCAGAGGCTTTAACCCACTGAGCCACCCAGGTGCCCCTATGTTGAACATTTTGAAGAATAACAAAACACTTTCCAAAGCAGGCACAACATTTTGCATTCCTATCAGTAATGTATGAGGGTTCCGATTTCTCCACATCCTTGAAATTACTTGTTACTATCCTTCTTTTCTATTATAGCTATCCTATGGGATGTGAAATTTTATCTCATCATGGTAATGATTAACATTTCCCTAAGTACTAATGATGTTAAATATCTTTTCATGTGCTTGTTAGCTATTTGTATATCTTCTGTGAAGAAATGTCTGTTCAAATCATTTGTCCATTTTTTAATTGAGTTATTGGTCTTTTTATGCTGGGTTGCAAGAATGCTTTATAAATACTAGGTATAAGTCTCTTATCAGATAAACAACTTGCAAATACTTTCTCCCATGCTGGGTGAGAGCTTTATTGATGATGTCATTTGCAGCAAAAAGTTTTAAATTTTTATGAATACACATTTATCTATTTCCCCCCTAGGTGTTTGTGCTTTTGATTGCTTATTTAAGAAACTATTGCCTAATCCAAGGTCATGAAGTTTTCACCTATGTTTCCTTCTAAAAACTTTATATTTTTTAGCTCTGATTACATTTACATCTTTGATCCATTTTAGTTAATTTTTGTATGTGGTATGAGGTAGGAAACCAACTTCATTCTTTTGCTGGTTGTTCTTGCATCATTTATTTAAAGAAACAGTTCTTTCCCCAGTAGCTCCCTTGCCAAAAATCAATTAGCCATAAATGTAAGGATATATATCTAGGCTCTCAATCCTATTTCATTGCTCTGTCTATACTTACACCAGAACCATGCTGACTTGATTACTATAGCTTCGCAATAAGTTTGGAAATCCAGAAGTGTGAGTCCTCCAACTTTGTTCTTTTTCAAGATAGTTTTGACTCATTAGGGTTATTGCATTTCCATATGAATTTTATGATCACTTAAAAGTGTAAGTCAAATTTAGGTCAAATACAAGTGAAAAGGACAGCTGGAATTTTAATAGGAATTATTTGAGTCTGAGATCCAGTTAGGGAGTAAAATGTAAAAATGAGATGTTTCCATTTATTTAGGTCTTTAATTTCCTTTGTTGATATTTTGTAATCTGTAGGTCCTTTTATTAAATTATTTTTTTATTTTTTACATTAAGCTGAATATCAAATTTTTTGTTAGTTTTCTTTTCAAAATTTCATTGCTAGAATATAGATATACAAGTGTTTTTTTATATTAGTCTTGTATCCTCCTAACTGGTATGAATTCTAATAGTTTTATTGTGGATTCTGTAAGATTTTCAATATGCAAAATCATGTCATCTGTGAAGAGAGATAGTTTAACTTCCTCAATTTAAATATGGAAATCTCGGGGTACCTGGGTGGCTCAGTGGATTAAAGCCTCTTCCTTCAGCTTAGGTCATGATCCCAGGGCCTGGATGGCTCAGTGGATTAAAGCCTCTTCCTTCGGCTTAGGTCATGATCCCAGGGCCTGGGATCGAGCCCCGCATTGGGCTCTCTTCTTGGCAGGGAGCCTGCTTCCCTTCCTCTCTCTCTGCCTGCCTCTCTGCCTACTTGTGATCTCTGTCTGTCAAATAAATAAATAAAATCTTTAAAAATAAATAAGTAAATAAATAAATATGGATATCTGTTACTTCTTTTTCTTGTCTAATTGCCTGGTGAGAACTTCTAATACAATTTCAACTAGAAGTTGTAAGAGTGGATTTCCTTGTCTTGTTTCTAATAAAAGGGTGAAATCATTCAGTGATTCACCATTAAGTGTGATACTAGCTGTGAATATTTTTTTGATGTTCTTTATCAGGTTAGAGAAATCCTTTTGTATTTCTAGTTTGTGGAGTGTTTTTATTTGAAAAGGGTGTTGGCTTTTGCCAAATGCTTTTTCTGTGTCTATTGATATTACGTGAGTTTTTTTCTTTATTCCATTAATATTGTATATTACATTGATTGATTTTATTTGTTAAATCAACTTTGAATTCCTGGGATAAATCCCACTTGTTCATAGTGCACTGGGGGTCTTTACATCTACACTCATAAGGGACGGAGGCCTCGTTTTCTTGTAATTATCTTTGGTTCTGGCATCATAGTAATCATATATTTGAGAGTTATTCTTGCTCATATTTTCAGAGGAGTTTGTAAGGATTGGTACTAAAACTTCTTTAAAGGTTTTATAGAATTCACTAGTGAAGCCATTTTCTTTGAGGGAAGTTTTTTAAATTACTAATTCAATCTCTTGTTATTGGTAAAGTAAGATTTTTAATGTCTTCTTGAGTTAGTTTTTGTCTTTCTGTTAATTTGTTCTTTTCATCTATGTTATCTAATTTGTCATCATATAATTATTTATAGTATCCCCATATTCTCTTTCTGATTTCTCAAAGGTCAGCAGTGATAATTCCTCTTTTATTTTTGATATTAGTAATTTGAGTCTTCTCCCTTTTTTCTTGTACAGTCTAGGTAATGGTTTGTCAGTTTTACTGACATTTTTAAAGAGCCAACTTTTGATTTCTTTGATAGTTTTTACTATATATATATATATATATATATATATATAGTTTCTATTATTATTGTTTCTATTATTATCTATTTTTTTCTATTATCTATTTATTTCCTCCCTAATACTTATTATTTCCTTCCTGCTGGTTTAGTGTGACTTTTTTTTTAAAATTTATTAAATTGGAAAGTTTTGTTATTGATATA